ACTTGTTGTTGGGCATTGTATACATTTTTTCCATACCCTCGCAGGCCTAGAGATTGACACCAACACCAATATCGGCGGTGTGCATCCACCGAGGGAGGAAGATTCCGATCTCGGCGATGGTGGTAATATTCTGGCTTCCAAGAGGAGGGGGAGGAGGAGGAGGAGGAGGAGGAGGAGGAGGAGGAGGAGGAGGGGAGGAGAGGAGGAGGAGGAGGAGGAGGAGGAAGGAGGAAGAGGAGGAGGAGGAGGAGGGAGGAGGAGGAGGAGGAGGAGGGGGGGGGAGGAGGAGGAGGAGGAGGAGGAGGAGGAGGAGGAGGAGGAGGAGGAGGAGGAGGAGGAGGAGGAGGAGGAGGGGACTCCACCCCGACCACGGGAGGGTCGGGGCCACTGCCGAGCTCGATATGACCTGCCCCCCCCGTGGGGGGGTCTTGGGAGCGCCCCCTGCAAGGAGAACGGCGGGGTGATGGCGATGATCAAGCTCCTCGTTGCCGACCTCGACAAGGAGCACGCCCTCTCCTCTGGGTCCTCGGGCCCGGGCGCCCAGCGGGGGAGGTCACGGCAGGCGCTCGCGCAAGCCCGCTTCCGAGGCCGCAGTCCGCCGTCGAGCCCTACGTCTCGCACGTCCCTCTGCCGGAGGAATATATTCAAAACAACATAGGCAAACAATAAGATAGGGACGATTTTGGATATTTTTGTTGACTAGTTTTGGGTATTTTTCGACTGTTTTCATTTTCCTTACAAAATCCGCCTGTAGGGGGACATGCCCGACCTAAGTCTAACCCTCTCGTGCCCACAGATGAACACCACCACCGCGGGCTATTTTTTTTGGCCTTGAAGGTTGAGTGGGTTATTGCGTCGGCCTCAGGTCGCAGGGTGTGGTGTGTCGCACCTCGCGATCACATCACGTCGTCTGCACAGCGTCACGCGGGTGTGCGGTTCTGTGCGACAAAAAGCAACACACACTGACGTCAGTATGCAACTCCTGGGATTCTGATTTGGCCCTGGTCCGACGTCCCGCTTAACTTTGGCTCAATCCCGCCTGATCCCGCTTGATCCGGCTTGATCCCGCTCAATCCCGTTCAATCCCGCTTGATCGGAGGCCCACTCTGGCGTAACAGCCCCCCAATGGGGCTCAATCCTCCTCAATCCTTCCGACGAAAACCTCTCAGTAGTTGCCTCCTAAGCCTGGGGGGGGCCCGTGCCACGAGCGAGTCGCACAGGTCGCAACGGCGGAGGCGATCGGGCGATCGCAAGCACGGATCAAGGAGGCGTGAATGAACGACGGGTCCCGTCTCCTCGGGATGTCGCGGATCTCCGCCGCCGAGCGAGGCGGCACCGGCCGCATTTTGGGGAGGGCACCTCCCCCGATCCATGGATTTGGCCACCGCGCGCCAAATCCATGGATCGCGAGTCCATGTTTGCGCGCCCCCGAGAACCGGAGAACGATGCTGGAGGAGAGGAGGAGGAGGAGGAGGGCGGAGGAGGAGGGAGGAGGAGAGGAGGGAGGAGGAGGAGGAGGAGGAGGAGGAGGAGGAGGAGGAGGAGGAGGAGGAGGAGGAGGAGGAGGAGGAGGAGGAGGAGGAGGAGGTTTGGGGAGGGGGAAGCATCTCACATGCCGACGAACCCCAAATGTCCAGCGGCCCCGAGGAGAGGGTCCTGTCGGGGTGGCGCTGCCTGGCCACCTCACCGGTGCTGGCCGCGGAGATATCCCGGGGCCCAGGCTCGGGCCCTCTGGCCCTGCGTCTCTTCGTCGCTCCCTCCGAGGAGAGCAGGAGGCGGCACGCACTTTCTCCGCAAGCGGCGAGGCGGCGAACTCCGCACCAGGGTAACAGCTAGGTAGGGGCACCAACTGGCGAATTGGCCGGAGTGCAAGGAGGGAGGGGGGAGGCCGACGAGAGGAAGGAGGGACGCTCAGACGTCGAAGACAGTGACGATGAGCCGCCGGCGGGCGGCAGCAGCCAGGCGCGCCGGGCCAGAGCGCGGTGGGCGGCCGTGGCGAACCACGGGGCAAGTTTGGCGTGGAGTGGCAGCCAGCATGACGCGGCACACACGTCTGCGGAGGTCCGCGCGGATTTCTTCGCGCGCTGCGCGCGCCAGGGGAGGGGTGTCAGCGCCGACCAGAGAAATTGGGCTAGGCCTTCAGGAGCTTGTGCGGATGCTGGTTTTAGGTCTTCTGCTCCTACCTCTGCCCTTCCGTCCATCGGTGGTCATCCCTCAAAGTGGGTGATGGCATATTTGCCGCGTCGTGCAGCGCATCTTTACGAATGGATCGTCGCAGGATGTGCTGTAGACAGCTAAGAAGCGTGTATTTGCTGCGCGTTCCGTAGCCGCCGTGGCTCGAATATCGCAGTTTTGTCGACATGAGTGAAATACTGCGCGATAGCAGCTTGAGAATTCTGGTTTCATCGTGCCCTCGTCTTCCCTCCTACTAGACGTTTGGCTGCCGTGCCCGTCGGGTTGGGCACTCATTTGGCCGCCAGTCTGTGCGAATTGCTTTCGGGGACTGCCGATTCGAACCGAACCCTCTTTACAATTACTCAATCTGAAAATACTCTCCCTCTTCCCCTGATGGCGTCCGGGTGATGGCCGCGCACCCTCCGCGTACTGTTTTTTTACACAGGATTCTCGGGAAATCCCGGGAAACGACTCTCGCTGAGGCGCCGGCGTCATTTTTTCCCAAAATGCTGCTCTCGTTGAGGCGCCGGCCTCATTTCTGCTCCCGAATCGTTCCGAATCGTGCTCCCGCTGCAGCGTGGGCCTCATTTTCGGATCGGTGTTTGGCCTCCGTCGTTCAGGATGGCGTTCTCGCCCCAGCGCGGGCCTTTTTCTCGCGCGCCCATCCGCCCGCCACCACCGCGCCGCACCGCCACCACCACCACCACCACCACCACCACCACCACCACCACCACCACCACCACCACCACCACCCACCACCACCACCACCACCACCACCACCACCACCACCACCACCACACCACCACCACCACCACCACCACCACCACCACCACCACCACCACCACCCACCACCACCACCACCACCACCACCACCACCACCACCACCACCACCACCACCACCAGCACCAGTACCACACCACCACCACCACACCACCACCCACCACACCACCACCACCACCATCACCACCACCACCACCACCACCACCACCCACCACCACCACCACCACCACCACCACCACCACCACCACCACCACCACCACCACCACCACCACCACCACCACCACCACCACCACGATAACCACGCACACACGCACGCACGCACGCACGTGCACCACCACCCACTACGCACGCGCGCGCGGAGCCACAGCTCCGCTACGACACGCGTCCGCGGATAGAGAAAATCAGCGCCATGGTAAGGGATGGGAGGGAGGGGTAGGACGTCAGATATGACGCGAGCGCACCTAGCTTGCCCTCCACCCCTCCCTGTCATCCTCCGTCCCTCTCTTCCTCGTTCCCTCCCTCTTTCCTCCCCGCTCCCTGTACCCTCCTCCTCGTCCTCCTCCTCCTCCTTTTCTTCTCCGCGAGGGGGCCCCCCCGCGCGCTGGGTGGAGGCTGGGCCAGTTCCCCAGCCCGAGAAGATGCCGTCGTCGTCCAGGCTGCCTTCTCCTTCGGGGGCGTCGCCGATTTCCCGAAGAGGACGGGCGACATCACGGTACACCCTAGGCGATGCTTAAGAAAACTTAAGTTTTCGGCGAGAGTCTCGATTGTTTTTAATGTCTCAATGCGAACCCTAAGATCTTGATAGAAGTTCTGGGTTTGTGTTCAAATCCTGAGACTCTGAGTTTCTTAACCCATGATTTCTTAAGCACTTCGCAGGGTGTGGACTGGCTTCCGGCGCCCCTGGGGGGCCGCCGCGCAACGACGGGTGCAGGGCCACGGGCTGCTGCGGGGAGCAGGGGTGCGCGGCCCGGGCGGCGGCGCCCACGCAGGCCGGGACGAAGGAGAGAAGCATGGTGCAGGGGTCGGCAGACCGGGGCTCCGGCTCACGCCAGTCTTGCGCGTCCTCGCCCCCTATCGGCATCCCCTCTTCGCTCGGGCCACGGGGTGACGACAGCACAGGACAGGCCCTCGGACGGCGGTGGCCCCAGCCGAGAAGCCCCGCGCCCCCTGCGCCAGTGGCTTCGCAGGGGCGATGGGCAAGAGCACAGTGCCGTTTTGAATACCTGCTCCGCGTGCGGATCGTGTATGAAACATGCCGGGATTCTGTACTAGAAACAACGATGGGTTCATGCATACATTTGTTCATACATTAACCGTGTATTAGAATCCCATATTTTTTAGAATCCCATGTATTAAAAATTGCCCTGTATGGAGGACCCGTCGGCGCAGCAGCACCGGGGCAGCGGACGGACCAGGAAACGCAGCACGAGGAGCCTACTGGTGCCTGGGAGCGTCGGCGACGCGGGGGGACTACGGCATCGGCAAGCGCCAGTCGCGGCGGCGTCGGGGGGGCCGCTGCCTGCGGGTCCCCAGACTGGGCAGAAGGAAGAGGCCATGCAGGAGGAATGCCGCAAGCTGGCGGCGCAGAAGCAGGAGCTCCTCTTGGAGCGCAGCCAGCTGGAAGCCAGGAAGCAGGAGATGCTTCTCGAGTCCTGCAGGCTGAGGTCGCAGATGGAGGAGCTCGAGGAGGCGCGGAAGTTGGAAGACCAGAAGAAGGTGCAGGACGTGGTCCACCCGCCTGTCTGGTGGGGGGAGCCGGCCAGGGCAAGCCGAGCTCCGCCTAAGGTGTGGGGGGGGGGCCAGGCCGATGGAGATGACCTGTTTGGACGGTTCGAGCTCGCCGCTGGTCGCGGAGAAGAGCGTGGGCTACGGGGCGGCGCGCTGGCTGGCTGGCGCCGCGGTGAACACGAAGAAGGAGGAGGACCCGCAGAGGCTCGCGGCGGAGTGGCAGCAGTTGCGCACTCAGCGGATGGAGTCCAAGGAGCGGGAGCTCCTGCCCAGGGCGGAGACGGAGGTGCTGTCCCTGGAGCGCGAGGCGATCGCGA